AATTGTCAAATCCACAAGAGTCTGGTGAGGCTTCCTTAAAATTTCTCAGTTTATGCAAAGGAATGCAATTTCAAAGTAATTTCATCCATTCCGTTAAAAATGTTAAATTGAAAGCAGTAACGCATTCCAAAGATTTTGTGTGAAATATTCCAAATTGATGTATTGAAGTTACATGAATTAAGGGAGAACATTGAAGTAAAATTGAAAACATCAGAACTGTACCCAATGAAGTGATTAACGGTTACAGTAAATGTGTGTAATATTTTATTACTTAAATATAATCTTAAATTTAAGGTCAGTCCTTGCAATGTGAGCATCAGCAGTAGATACTTGTCAAAAGTAAGCCAACAAAAGTAACCTGATGGAAATGGAGCATTACCCTCTCTAATAGATGATAATTCCCAGCAGAGCTGCCCTGAATACTCAAGGGAAGATTATCAGAGATTTTCCTTTCTTTTTATCTTCTAGCTCATAGTGCTGTCTAAGCATCATTAAACACAGTTAATAATTTCTTATACTTAGATCCTACAAGAAAGGGTCTGGTTTTATTCATCCATTATTTTAATCATTACTGCTACATTTTAAGAACCTCACAGATAGGTCACCATTATATAAAATGTTAAAAGAACACATTCACTACGCCACAACTACCATTTAATAAATCCTCTCTCTTAGATATTCCAGCATTATAATGATGTTCCTTTTATGTTTCTTTTAAGCTAATCTTCACCTACAGTTGTAAATTCTTGTTAAATGATCATTTTTCTGAAAGCCTTTGCAATTAGTGGAGCTCCCTAGCCATTGCTTTCAGATTAAAAGCAAGACTGTAAAGAGGATTCACAGTGAAGATGTCCAAAATGTAAGTGTTCAAAAGACCTGTACCTCAGGCAACACCTTCTGCCTGCATTAAACAAATATTGCCTATATATTTCTCCGTTTGCATTACTAGAATCTCATTACTGTAGTATTAAACCCTTGTGAGCTACATGGTTTTAGTTAATGCCACCAAGCCAAAGCTTGCTTAATCTCTCGTGTGTTGCTTGTTCAGCATTTACAAATAACACTTCACGTGGTTGTTTTATGTTCTACATTTTATGACAGATAGTGTGCAACTGCTGGTAGGAATCTGAGTGCTGAAGATGGTGGCTCTGGAATTTGGTTATTAAATATATAGTAGTGATAATATAGATCCCTGTTATTCTTGGATTGCTGTACATGGCTTTCACTGATGGTCAGGTACACTTGACATTTAGTGAAAGAGGTCTTGCATGATGGTTTTTAGCTAATAAATTGCTAACCACTTTCACAGTCAGCAAGGGAATCCCTCATTCCCTTAAATATCCAAGTCTTCAATGTAAGAGCCACATTTCTTAATTTGTCTAGACTGTAGGGCTGTGTAATCCCAATACTGACTGCACTGATGTTCTGATATTATAGTTATATGTCACTAGGCATAATAAAAATATTAAAATGCAAATAATGTGGGAGGAAAACATTATCCTAATTTAAACCAACTTGTTAGCTCTAGCACTGACTTTCTCGGTAGATGAATTATGGTAGACATTAAACGTGGAAGTAACTACTGTCATCTTCAGTAAGTAGAGTGCAGACTGTAGAAATAAAGCTGTCATAAACTTCACATAGATTAGAATGCATCCACACGATCCTTGAGAATGATCAATGACAGAAAGCTGACATCTGAGAATCCAGTGCCTACCAGATTTGTTACTCGGTCTTCCCATTTTGTCAATCTGATAATGAAATGTTTCTTGTCTTTGCAAGACTACTTTGCCTGAAGTGGCAAAAAAAAATGCATAAGAAGCATGCACCTCATATTAGATGTCTTCTGAAGTAAATTCTATTTGCTTAAGTTTAAAATTTATGAGTAACTAAAAATATGAACACATTATATTCCCAAAGTACATGCTGTGGACATACAGTATCCTAGCTGTTTTCCTCAGCAAGGGTTCAGGCCTTCCTTTTTGTGAAGGGTGGTGCTAAATAAAGTCTAGTCTTCACAATGATAATCAGAAATTAATGTACTGACTTTTTGAGCTGGATTAGTTAAACTGCATTGAACTCCAGGTGGATTCTCATTCAGAATCAAACTAGTCTTTGTTCAATGTAGCCTACTTAATTTTCAAAATAAATTAAAGCAAATGGAATTAAAACTGCTTCAGTAAAGTATGTCTACACATAGGCTCAGTGTAATTTTACCAATTTACACTGAATTCACATCTTAAATTCAGAATTAGTTTGCCTTAAAGGCGTGAGAATATAAGCAGGAGTAGACTGGAAAGATTTTACTAGCTGGTGATGAACACTGAGCCTGCCCACCTTAGATGTTCAAAGAACCTTTAGCTTCCTCAACAAAACATGGATAAATGATACTTCCTTTTTTTTTTTTTTTTTAATTTTTCTGAGATCTCTCTAACAATGAAAGCACATCTCTGGGGAAAAAAAGAAAAAAAAATCTGCATCAGACATTGCATATCCAAGTTTCTGTACCACATTTCCTGGTGTAACTTCACTTAGCAGGCACATATATTATACGATAAGTTTATTAAATCTTTGCCATCTTAAGCAAGGCAAGGTTGATAAGGAAAGGGAAAGTTCTGTAGCAGACAAACTGGTGTATATGAGGGAAGTAAAGGCAAGGGAAAGGTGAGACAACTAACTGTAAATTACCAATACTGATGCTGAATGGAAAGTGTTCTGTGCCACTTAGAAGCACTGTGTGGTTTGTGTACCTCAGTCACTTGTACGCTTTTGGAAAAAACTTAAAATGTCTGTGGTGCTTGTTTGAGCAAAGCCAAATTGCTACTGTTCTGTATTCTGCCCATCGCTAATTTATATTAATATTCTACATCCATTTAAGAGAATAAGATGTGCCTTAAAAGTTATTTGTGTCCTTGAATGTAACTGACTGTGAGTGTTCCATAATTTACAGTAATACAAGATACTATTGATGTCTCTCAGGATATTTTCTCACCAGCCAGTCAAGATTTTTTTAACTCTGAGCTGCTTGGAATGATATCATTAATCTGACTAGGTGACTGCAATATCCTGGGTAATCCTGCGTGATGAAGAGCTACTGCAGTCCTTTGAGATGGGTGGCAAGACCGTTTTGTACAGGGTAATAAAGTGTCTGGAAAGGAGTAGTAATGATACAGCTGAGAAGTAGCAGGTGTGAAGAATAGCTTATCTAAAACACAGGCTTAGTCATATCTCTGCAGATGCAGTTGTCAGTTCTTTTATATTTCCTCATTAAAATTCTGTGATTTGGTGAAGGATTCACCATGGCTCTTGGGCCTTACTGGTACAGCAAAACAGAAAAGAAACAGGTTGCAAGCTATCTGTGTAGACTGCTGTAGCATTTCCAATCCCAGAATATCTTACACAAAAAATGTATGTCTTCAGTCTATCATTTTGTCTATGAAGGAAGGCGAAGACTTTGGAGTCTGTATCAAGGAGATCTGTGTCTAATGCCATAGCTACCTGGTCACAGGGATCACTGCCCTCACATAAATCCTTACTGGAGACAGGTGGGCTGATGTTGTAAACGTGTAGTGTGTTCTTTTTTACATATAGGGAAAGCAAGAGTGGTAAAAATCTGTGCTGGGTTTGTGTGTAGTGAGGGAGGGGGCTACAGCAGTGGCCCCTGTGAGAAGCTTCTCAGTGGTCCCCCAGCTCCAAGTCGGGCCCACCTCTGGCCAGGGCCGAGCCAATGAACGATGGCTGTGCCTCTGCAATAACGTATTTAAGAAGCAGAACCTGGGAGGAGGAGTGGGGACTTTTGAGAAGGAATTGGGAGGAGGACACCTATGCAAACACGGAGGTCAGTGGAAGAAAAGAGGAGGAGGAGGAGGAGGGGGAGGAAGGAGGGGAGGTGCGCTGGTGCAGGGACTCCCCTGCAGCCCATGGTGAGAGGGCAGGCTGTGCCCCTGCAGCCCGTGGAGGTCACCGGTGGAGCAGATGCCCACCTGCAGCCCGTGGAGGACCCCACACGGAGCAGGTGGCTGTGCCTGAAGAAGGCTGGGACTCTGAGGGAATCCCCTCTGTTGTAGTTTGGTGCTGGGAGGACTGCAACACGCAGGAGGGACCCATGCCGGAGCAGCTCAGGAAGGGCTGCAGCCCAGGGGAAGGACTCACATGGGAGAAAGTTCATGGAGGACTGTCTGCCGTGAGAGGGACCTCAGGCTAGAACAGGGGAAGAATTCGAGGAGCCCTCACCCTGAGGAGGAAGGAGTGGCAGCACTGACTGCACCCCCCATTCCCTGCCCCCTGCACTACTGGCAGGGAGTTGTTAGAGAAGTCAGAAACAAAACTGAGCTGGGGAAGAAGGGAGGGGTGGGGGGAAGGCGTTTCTAAGATGTGGTAATGCCTCTCACTGTCCTACTCTGTTAAGTGTTGTTGTTGTTAGTGTTTGAATTAAATTGATGTTCTTTTTTCTTCCCCTAATGAGTCTGTCTTTTACCTCTGATCATAATGGGTGAGTCACCCCTACCTGTCCTTATCTTGATTCCAGAGCCTTTTCCTTTATTTTCTCTCTCCCATGCCTGAGGGGGAAGGGGTGAGCGAGCAGCTGTGTGGTGCTCAGTTGCACTTTGGGCTCAAACCAGGACAACATCTCAGTTTATTCCAGTGTCTGAGAGTCTATTCTTTTGAGGCTACAAAACTGGCTGATCTCTGTGACCTGAGTGGACACAACAACTTTGGTCTAAAGGCCACGTCCCTTTTGACATAGCAAGATGAAGCATATGAGCAGAGGCTGTTCATAAAAATAAAGGCTGCAGGATCAGAACTTCAGAGGCAAGCTCTTTATCCAAGGGGGAAACCTCACCTTGTTTACATGAAAATAAATTTTGCTAGGCTTTCATGTGGTGCCCTTAATGTGACTCCAGATGCCATATGAGTAATATGTTGGAAACCACATCATTGCCATGTTTTGTTGATCCAGGATTATTAACAATGTCCTCATTCCACATTATTTATTTCAGATCACCAGACTAGCTCTGATGTTAACTTGTCAAATATCAGAGGAGCATCAGAAAAAACAGGCTTTGATTTTAAAACAGAGGTACTTTCTGAAACCTTAGAAACTAATGAGCAGTCAATATTGGTGCTTCCAGGAAGAATATCATGTGAGGTAAGGTTTTTGGATGCTAAAATCTTTAGGGTAACAGTCAATGTTTCTTCTCGCTGCAATCTCATTCATACTATAACAGTTTTGAAAACTGTTTTGAAAGCAGATAAGGGGCTAAAATGAGAGTGCATTGAGACTGCAGTGGGATTTATTGTGCTTTTGTTTCATTTAAAATACTGTTTTAAAACATTGTTAGGTAAGCTGAATTTAAAATACTGCATTAATTCTGTCATTTATGTCAGTAAAATACTAGAGGATAACACTGAGATGGTATCATATTTTGATATTACGATTTTTTTGTACAAAGCTGTTGGTGAAGGAGCTTCGCTTCCAACTTACGTTTGCATTTGCATTTTACATTTCAGTATAATTCTCTGAAGGACTAATGGGAACATATTTTAATTTTATAGAACCCTGGTGAAATATTCATTTTGTTGAAAGATGAAATAGATGATGAAACTTTAGAAATAGAATTCATAGCAGATAATCAACGAATTAGGACACAGCCAGCCTCTTGGAATAAGAAGGTCAAGTACATGAAAGCCTTAGGTAAGAAAACATTCTTTACCTTTAAGCAAGCAGAAAATTTTGTACACTGTTCACTTTTTCTGATAAGTAGTTTCACTTCCCACTATTTTGTAGCTGTTTCCTGTACACGGCTTTTGCACACAGAACATTTATTAATAATGCAGAGAAGCAAGGCCTTGTGATTTATGGGAAACTAGGTTCTATTAGATTGTTTTTGTGTGGTTAAATGGCAGGTGGCAGACTTAAAATGTCATTGATTAGTCACAGATTAACATTCTTCAAAATCACTGCCATAAAATGCAAAGCTAATATTCTTTTCTTATTACTCTAATACTAAAATGATTCATTTTATATTTAATGCAGTAAATTTGGTTATACTTCTCTCTATAATTCTTACAGACTCAGGAAATAATTGATTTTCTTTGTTCATGTCCATGCCATTTATATATATGTATATATGTGTATATATAGGCTACAGTTTTCAACAGTGGCTTCTTGGAGCTATGTTTGGGTAATTCCGTGGCCTGATTTTCATCCTGAACACTGTCCTGAGACAATGGCCACATATGGTCTGAGAGTTCTTTATCACTGTGGTGGTGCAGAGTTTGTTTTTAGAGACTTAATTGGGAAGTGCATGGTCAAGATTAAACTTTCAACTATAACTGGATTTCATAGAAAGAAAGCTGAAATCCTAATTCAAGGATCTTAAAAGATTATTTCAGAATGACTCTGTGAGAACACTGTTGATCACAGGAAGGTTTCTATAGTGGACGAAGAAATAAAATATGAACAGTAAATGAAATATTACAAAAAAAATGGCAAAGAGCGGCAGCCCAGATTTGATTTTCTTTCTTCTGTCACTTGTATTTAATGCTTCTCTCTGAAGACTTTTTTCTGTTTTAAAACCTGGAAAAGTTGGAAGTTTTGGGGTACTCTTTTTTTAATAAAGGTCCAGCTGATCTGATAAGAAATTAAAAAAAAAAAACAAAACAAAACATTTGAGCAGTTTCCACTGAAGTGATTTAAGGTGATATTCTATTCATTTAGTTTCTTTGGCCCCTATTACACTTCTCCATTTTCAGGGTTGCCCATTTTTATTGCTTTTTTGTGGGCAGAGTTAGAATTTAAGAAAACCATGCTAGTACTGGTATGGTACAGCAGGATGCCTGGTGCTGTGAATACTAATGAATTATAAAATGCGCTCATAAAGAGGGCTCATGCTGCATACACAGAGCAAGTCATACTTAAGTAACAGACTGTACAAATGCCTCTTTCCTTTGCTTTTACTAGATAAACAACTGGAATGGAAGTAATTATACTGCAATTTCTGCAGCCTAGTTCAAATCCAATTTGGAGAACCTTGCCTGCAGTTAAGAAAAATGTTTCAAAAGATGAATAGCAATTCTACTATTTGTAATAAATGAACTTTTCCTTAATTTGTATGCATAAGGGAGCTGATGATAGGTCATCAGTCTATCAAAGGAAAGTTGAAAATCTGAAGCATACCATTTTCATCTTTCTAATTTGAAGCAATACAGTAGCTTTGTTTTATCCAGATTTACAGATATGTATTTTCTTTTGTCAGATTTTGTATGTTAGACTGAAAGACCTGCATAAAAAACTGACTACACTGAATCATCTGTGAAATTCAAATCCAGTTCATCCACTTCATGCATTTTCTGTGATATTTTCCTGTTCTTTCACTCATTCCCTGAGACCTGTGATCTGGGACTGTAAAATATTTTCAGCTACTGTTCTGATTTGTGTTTTATTAGATTTTCCTGCTGGCCCTGTATATGTAAATGTCTACTGCAAGGGAGTCATTAAGACCACAGCACAGATTGAGTACTATACTGCACTAGAGGAGATTGAGCACATTTTTAAGAAAGTGGTTGACCCAATAGCTTTCACTTGCCAGGTAAGCTGACTTCTGCATTTTTAATAAAAAAAAGTAGACTATAAGTGCCTGTATGAGCTAAGAGATTTTGATTGCACAGTAATGAGTAATGGCTCAATAATAGGCTCAGGATTACAGAGGCCTGTCTTTGAGATGCCTAGTTGTAAGTCAGTCAGGGAAGTGAAAACAAATTTTCTTTTTTTTTATTTTTGTTTAGAGTGATATAAACATCCTTTGTGCTATATGTGCCCAATGAACAACATCCTGCATTACAGAGGATGAAAATAATAAGAAACAGTAGTGATGCCCCTCTTCATGTAAAGTGTTCTTTTTAGTATGTTCTAAAACCAACAGAAGCAAGTAATCTAAAATCACATTGTATTTGGAGGATTATTACTCATTCACCAGAAAACGGGATTTTTCTGGCACAGTTTGTATGGAAGACAGTAAGTTGCTATTCATACAGAGTCCATTTACAGCTGCTGAATTATCATTCATGTGGTTTGCTGGTTGCCATGCAGATTCTTTGCATATATTTGGAAGAATTCAGGTTTTGAGCTGGGTTTCAAATCAGCACAGCAGGCTGCAGTGCTCTGCAGTATGTCCTTTGCCAATGGCACATACAAAATAATAAGAAAAGAAAGCATCTATTAAGAAAGGATGGAATCTCAAGTATCATTTGTTGAATGGTGGGTAGCCCAAGCAGACTTGTCATGATGTCTATATTGTAATTGCAAAGCCAGAACAAAAATAATAGTCTGTATTTCCAGTGCAGACAGTCTCATTTTCCTTTGACAAATCTACCTTATCTACCACCTAAGGCGTTATACTCATAACGAAAGGATTAATAAAAAATGATATATTGCATTATTAGTGTTCTATTAAGGATGGGGGTAGATTCCTTCAAAGTACAAGTCACTTCTGTTCTAAGAAAACAGGATGTTGCAGGAGAAAAATAGTGCAACTATAAGTACAAGTAAAGTCTTAAAATCTTTATAGTATCTATCATTCTTTAGCCTGTATTTTGAAGGACATAGAAGTAAGCTTCTAACAGTTTTCATTTAAAATTTTATGCATAACAAGTGTGTCATAATGATTAAAAAAAAATCATTAACATGGTAACCTAGATACCTACAACACACCTGATGTTTACACTAGAGATCTATTTGTGCTATTCAGGAGTTTGACCCTTCATTTAATCAGCATAACTAATATTTAGTAAAATACCTGCAATCCAAATTACATTCAAATGCAAAAATAATTCTGTGCAGAGCAATAGTGCACACCAGGAAAGACAGCTGCAGTGTTTTGACTGTCAGATATGTTTAACAGTTTTCTCACCTTTACTCATCTGGATAATAAATAAGATTTTAAATGAGGAGACACTGTTTGCCTGCTCTTAATTTTATTGTTTTGGCATCTGAAAAATTAATGCCAAGAAAATTTCTATAATCAGGTAAGTTTTAAAATCCACAAAATATCATGGCTGCTCTGTGGGAATGTATACTAATGGTAATTCATTTCTAAGTGTAAATATGTGTTGGAAGATTTATCTTCATATTTAATGGTACCTGCTGGGCCACAGAGTGGAGTACACTAACTAGCAAGGTAGCTTAATTATTTCCACAAACTTTTAAAATACTTTAATCTCTCATGTAAACCTGATTTAGTGTCAATAAGATATGTTGTAAAGATGCAATTTACAGAACATGATTTAATGTAGTCTTTAAAAATACGTTCACACAGGAAAAAAAAAAAAAAAAAACCAACAGACTTGATACCAATTAGAATTCCCATCAAGTATCAGGAGTAGTAGTAACTTTTATTTAACCAGGATAATTAAAACCTTTGAGACTATCAGCTTATTTGCCAAAGTATCCTGGGGCAACAATGGTTTATCTATGCAAAGTAACAATCAAACACAATGGGGAAGGAAAAAAATAGAAAAGCTTACAGAAGTTGTTGATCAAAGCCATATCGCTCTGTGATTCAAAGAAAAGTGCAAGATTTTTACAAATGCTTGCAATAAAGCCAAACAGATAAACAAAGCCCAACAAATAGGCTCACAGTATCCATTCCTTTTACTAATGGTCAGGTCAGTTCATACATCTTAGTGGGAGACCAGCAAAGTATGGTACTGCTGCACTTACAAATTCCTCTTTTTAGAGAAGAATTAAAGGTTAGCCATATTTTAGATTAAACATTTTAAGATTTTTACAAATCATGTTTTGGGGTGAAATTCTTTGCCACATCTGATAGACTAATTTTCTGTGTTCCAAATTTGTCTGAATTTAAAAAGCATTTACCAACATTAGCAAGGCATTTTAAACAAATAAATATTTAAAATGTAAGGAGATAAAGCGTAAATAATGAAATAAGTTTCTCTGCATACATTTTGAAAGAAAAAAGCCCTGAAATTTTATAGTAAAGTAGGAAGAGTTGGGATCATAATAGCTGAATCATAATGCTGAAGGAACTTGCTATCAAAATATACTAAGGATGTTGTTGGTTAAAGGCCGTGAATTTTTTTGTTTTCTCACTTTCCTATAATTCTACATTAAAGAAACTCTATTAGGGAGTTTATGTTCTTACCGTATCCTAGTGCACAGACTGATTTTAAGGTTCTTATAATTCATAATTGAACCTTTTCATATTTAATTGTTTACTCTTCATCAACTTCTTATTTCAACATTCTACTGCATTTACATGCTGTATTGATTTTTCTCGCAGTCTTTCTACCAAATACAACTGTTGATTCAATTATTTAGTGTTGGGGTTTCCTGGTAGAGATTTCTTCCGTTTTTTAAAAAAAAAAAAACAAAACACTAAGGTCATATCCTTATTACTGAAATTTACAGGTTCATGTTAGTTTGAGTGACTTAGAATATCTACAGAGATTCAGGAAGTCTTTATGATACACTTTGGTTGAATAATACTCCTATGATTCTGAGAGAGTTGTTATCTTAAAGGATGTTCTTATCATGGTCATCAAACAGGATTCCAGTTACAGTGTATATTGGAAAAGAAGAATGAAAATAAACTGCAGGCTTTTCTGTGAAAACTTGTAAGAAATAGCTATATGACTTATGTGGTGATATTATGTATATGCCTTTCCCTGATCCTCAGAGATACTTCCTTTGAAACTGTTTTTAATATTTCAATTTTCTAAACCACATCAGCAGCTGTTATTTTAAAATGTTTCTTTCTTTTTCTCTAAGTATGGTATCTCTCCATATTCTGTCACTGGCTAAAATTGTCAGAAATGCCTAAGTGATTTTTAAGCCTAACCCATTCTCTTTGGCAGAGGTAATCTAGATATTAAAGTGCATATAAAATACTGTCTGATATGTAAGAACTACTGAAGAAGTTCATCTTTATGTAAATGTAACCCTGTTAGTACTGCTAAAGCCAGTGTGAAATATGTTAGTTTACTGGCTCTGTATGCTGTGTCAGATGCACACCTTGGTTAGCAGCTAGTAAATAATGTAGATCATCTCATTCGCAAAAGTAGTAAAATATGTGCTTGGTCTCCTCCTTTTTCAAGGATGTTTTTGGAAGCCCAGGTGTGATGGTCAGCACTTGGGGCTTCTCTGTTGTTCACAGCTGTGTCCTGTTGCTCTGAAAATGGGGCAAGGGAATGCAGATATTGCCTACACCTGGGGAGGTGGTACTGAGCCAAGGACAAGCTCTGGGGCAGGTAGTAGCACTTGCAGAAGGACTAAAATTGAAGGGTTGAGCAGAGAGTGGTTGGCTGTACTTTGGAGAGCATGGGAAGAATTGCTTACAAATTCACTAGCTTAATTCTGAATGGTTCCTGAAAAGAACTTGATTGCCAGGACACAGGGAGAAAGTAGTGCTTTTGCTTCTTTTCTGTCATGTTATAAATCTTTATTCAGGTAAAACATGGACTTTCTCCTGATTGGCTCAGTGTTTCCTTGCAGTATGCTTAACTTTAAATACAGTTCTACTTCTGTTGGCTTTGGCGGAGCTTCAGCATGAACTTCAGGTGCGTAGTGTTGGTGGGTTTTCTTGGGAAGATTTCATGGGCTTCTACAGACCTGTGTAGGATACATCAGAATATGTAAATGCAGTCTATTTACAATATGTGAGTGCTCTGGAGTAGGAATGGGCAGTAGCGTAAAAGTCTCTGAACTGAATTCTATCTTGGGGGAGGTGTCCTTTATGTTGGTATGGAGCTGGCTAGTGTGGAGTGGTCCTATTGCTAGTTCTGTTTCACTGTTATTTCTGCGATTATTTTCATGTAAGTACTGGAACAGGTCCTCCTTTATGTGAGATAATAAGCATTAATGTGTACTTTCTTTTTAAAAATCAATGAACTAGATTTTCCTACTGTGTCTTTGTAGAATAGCAGAACAAAGCTACTTGTTATGGTTTAGTTAAGAAGATGGCTTGTTAAATCATTGTTTGGACCTTCCAATTTTAGATCCCTGGAGTAAGAGAGAAAATTTGACATGGAAAACTTGTAGCAAATTGCACTGTTAGCTCTTTATAAGAGGTGTATTGTGCCTGACTTGGAAAACATAGTAATTGTTAGGCTGGTTACTGGAAGGCTGGCTTGTTAAAGCATGTTAAAAATTTAGCTCTGATTTAATCTGTTCCCTTTGAGAGATCAGCCAGTCTAACTTTTGTCTCATCAGCTTGCAAAAGCTGAGCTAGCCTGATGTGGTTAAGCCATGCAACTGTTTATGGCCTTTCAAGTTTTGCTGCAAGTTCTTGAAGTTGTGCACTCCTTTTAATTTCAAGAGCTTCTTCCATCTCAGATTGTGAAACACTGTTTTATCCCATGTAAATTTGGTTGTCTGAGTGCAAAATAAGAGGTATACGCTCTTAAGGTACTCCTCTCCCAGATTTCTGCCTGAATAAAAGGGAAAAGGAAGAGTTCCTGCCTTAGCTTATATTAAAAAGCAGTGGAGCTTTGTAGGCAAAATTAGTGCTTCCTGAAAAGAGACTGTGGGTTGTTTATTTGGCTTTGATATACAAGACAGTCTGAAATGGATTCTGTCTGAAATTGCTTCTCAGGCATTTCAAGACATGGTAAGAGGCAGGTGTTGCTGGGGTGTGTATGCATTCATTTTCTTTTGAACAGAGGGCTAGACAGGTAACAAAATGTGTAAGGGGTGTCCCTGCCATTTTAAATAGAAATTAAAAATATTTCTTCAGGTTTAGTTTGTCTAGAAGCCCACCTATATGTTTATGCTCTTATTGCAATTCCTGCTATATACTTGCTTTAGTGAATACCAATAGTTTTGAGCCACTTTATGCAACAATATCTGCATATATGCTCATCTGAGCTAGTTCCTGTGTTTTATTTCTTACTCTAGATTGAACTCTATTAAAGTAGTACCAACGATGTTATCATATCTAAGAAGACCTACTTAGAATGAGCATAGTATGGTTTCCTAACTGAATTTTAATATTATTCCTCTTAATTTTTAAATATAATGTGGTTATTCATGTTGGGGAGGGGGGGAGTTGATAGCTATTTGGGAGGTTTTGCGTATCCTTTCTCAATTCACACTAAGTCTGATATTCAGATTAGATCTTTATTCCAGAACAAGCCTTAACAATTGTTTTTATAGGTGGAGTCTTTTAAACCTTATTGCTTTGATTATTGAGGACTAAATTATGTATTCATAATTACTGAATAGCAAATACAGATAATGTAATACGACAGTACAGAAAGGGTGAATTATAGTAAGGAATAGGTTACAAATTGCTATATATAATGGAATTTATGTATCATAATCAATATTGGAAAGGCCAGTATTATTTATGGGAAAAATAAACAATCTTATTGCTAGCTCCCTACCTGCAAAAACTTGTCTTCTAATTCTGAGTAGGATTTGGATGGAAATTATATCCTGCCTGTGTACTCAGTGTTTTCTGATCATGTCTCACCTTCTTACTCACTTTTAACGGCATCAGGAATTAAACTCCATGTTCCACCAGCAGACCCCTTCATCCTTTTTTCCTTCTGACAGTCACAGTTTCTTTTAAAGCTTATATGCTAAGTGCGGTTGCAGATTTTCCCTGTTAGTGATCCCTGAATTGTCTTGACCAGAAACAGTTCAGGTATGGGAAGGCAGACTTTAACACAGGGCTGCTGACATCTCAGCAGACTAAGCCAATAAATTCCTCCTGAGCATTTTTCTGCTGTGGATGAGCTCGTTTTGGTGCCCAGTGCAGCACAGGCTTGACTAGCACCATAGAACTTAATGTAAAATATCCTTACTGTTCAAATTTCTGTAGTCATGCTTCTCTTGTCACACCAAGCAAAGAAATATTTAATTATGGCTACCTTGAGAGCCATTAGGAATAGATCTTGGCCTTATGTCCAGAAAGAGGCAATCAAAAAAAGATCTCGTGGCAGTCAGTGAGGATTTCCCTTGTCTAGAGACTATGTATTTAATAGGAAGCTAATCTAACTGGTTGCTGTTTCTTAACTGTCAGATGTTACACCTTGGCTGATGGCACTGAAGATGTTTCCTACCTAGCAAAGTATGCAATCTTAACGTAAAGGTTTTGGGCAACAGAGAGCTACTGTAGTCTTTAAACTCCTCCTGAATTATTGCTGTAGTAAGACCTTGGATTTATTGGCATCTCACATCTGTCAGAATAGTTCCTGATTATTACACTGCATTGTTGTAAGCTAAATCAAGAGTTGATAAACACAAATCTTCCTGTCATTACCCTTCGTCCTGAAGTTTTTAATCGTGGCTAAACTTCATAAGTTAGAATACCTGTTTTTCTTCAGTTGGATCCTGTTGTCGTGATCCTTCTATATTAGAAAATCTCTTCTGTAGCTTTCAAAAACTATGCTGCTCTGAGAGTAAGTTTCTAATAATACTGTTTTGAGTAATTTGATTCACCAGCACTCTGAGGAAATGTTAAAAATACATAGGCAACAAATGCACTAATATTTTTATTTTTTATTTTAAACAGGCTTTTAAATTTTCTTCTGTAGAGAAGCTGGACAATGTTCTGACTTTGTTATTGAAAAGCAAAATATCTGCTTATGAATTCAGCACATTCCAAAGTGAAGAGCACCACCAACAAGCTAGTGAGTCACTTCTTGTATGCATTGACTTTTATTACTGATGCTATGGTTATTACTTATAAATGTTAATAAGACAATTTTTAAGTATTTAAAGCCACTAGTGAAATAGAAGAATCTACAATAAAGACAACATTACCAGGAAAAATAGTGCTGTAAAGCATTACTTCGTGACTCAGTACTATGTATTTATACTTTTCTGGATGTTTGATCAGCTTTGGATTAACTGCAAATTGTCAACTTTATAGCTGAGCAAATTTATACTTGCAGAGAAAATGGGCAATAAGAGACATAAAGAGGAGATGCCTGTACATGTATATTTTTTTATTAATTGCTCTTCTACAACAAAATTTAAATGTCACTTTCTCAAAGTTTGGTGACATAAAATGAAAATCAGAGAAATTTCTCTATCTGAAGAGAATGGATGGCTTTTGAACTTAGAACAGCACTAAACTTCTCCATTTACTTTAGTATCTATGCACTTAATAGTTTCCATTAATTCTGGCCAAAAGAAAATTATATCATTTTTAATTTTAGAAAACAGGCATCCCAGTGAGTTAAAATCGGATTTGTCTATAAAGTAGACACACTGGACACTATGCCCACAATTCAGTAGTGTATCAACAGAAGCTACTGTTCAGTACCAAATGGAGGGTCCTGGTTGAATTCATTAAGCACTTACTAAGGATTCAAATTGCTTTGCAATAAACTAGGAGTGTGATTATTTAGCTTGTTTTGAAAGCATCATTATGATGTTATTTCAGCTGTGTGTTAGACCTCAGGTTTGCTAAGAAAATATCTTTCCCTTCTGAAATATTTAAGAAAGATGTGTTTGAGTTGTTGCCTGACTCCTGTTTTGTGTACCTGGACTATGGTTTAGAGAGAAAATAAGCTCACTACAATGAACTACAACATAATACTTCTCATAAACAAATATGACAAGTTTTGAAAGTAACTCTACCGTGATCGCTGTCATGCTTCCTTTCCTTTTCAGTAAGGTTTCTTTGATGATGGAATTCACCCCTCTTTACTACATAAACGTGACTCCACTTGTATTCTAAAAATGAGCACCTGTCCTTGACATTTTCCTGTGCAAGACTGCAGGATGGGGGTGTGTAGGACCCATTAGAGTCATTCCCAATGTGAAATGTTAGTTCTGATGAACAAAAGACTTTCTGCTTCTCTAGCAACCAGTTAGATCTGGGCACATTTTTGAATATTGAGAATAATGCTTACCAACCTGCAGTCTCTCTCCAAAAGGCCTGTGCGGTTCAAGAGCAAGTTGAGTGCTTGTGAGCTTGAGCCAAGTAGTAACCTTTGTAAAACGAATTGATGTATAGCACAACAAGAAAGTACAAAGTTAGATGCCTAGATGCTTCATGAAAGAAAGATGTGGTTGCAGAGCTGGAAGCACTCGGAATGTAGGAGGCCTCGGCCCTGATCCCCTTTCTGTCTGAAAGGTATGTAAACCCATGGTTTTGACTGCCTATAAGAGCATCCCAAGCAGTCTTTAGACATAACGATTCTAATAGAGGATTAACATCTCCTTGTTCAGCCATTTTTGTAGGATTTTATTCCAAGCACCAATTTTTCTTCCAAAGACCAAATGTCAAAGAGTAAAAAACTAATGAAATACTTTGGAGAAGAAAACGAAGCTATCGGAAGAAAAGCTTTTTAGCATTAAGATGAGTAATTCCTGTATCTCTGAACAGGCAGATGAATCAGTCCTCATTTCATAATTCCTGCATGTGGTCAAAATAGGCAAACTTATGCCAGAAATCCAGTTGTTGGTTTCCAGGGGAAAAACAGACACTTTGCATTGAGACATACTTGGTTGAAACAGAGACATGTCAATAAGTCAGAATACAGATACACTTCTTCATGACTACCTGTATGTGATTCTATAGGATTCCTGCCCTCTTCCTATTAGATTTTTATTAGATTTGGTATCAAATGCTTAGTTCATAAAGCTTCTTTGAAAATGTAATTTTCCTCCAAAAGCTGCAGTGAATTTTTTGTGCATCTAGTATCTGATGGAGTGTACTTAATCTTCTGGATTTCCAGTCTGGCTGTAATATCTCTGGCTTAATAATAATACTTCTACCCAAAGGTAGATGCACTCATTGGAGGCTAGATGCTTTCAGATTAAAGTCGCACTCCTTTCAACCTAAACACTAAAAAAAGTTTGAATCCTTTTTAAACTTGATCCTTTGGAGACTGTTTCATGACTCCAGTTATGGACATGACTACAGGAGGTCAATCTTGAAGCATGAGGCATAGATTAGAGAAACCTTTCTCGGTATGATTTTATCTTGATGCATTATATTAACTTTATAGCTAGCACATCAGGTTATAGCTGATGAATTGCTGTACTTGAGAGTTCTCAATATGAACTCAAAGTGAACAGATAATGAAGATCTTGTTATTAATTTTATTGGATAACTAATGAATTGCATAGTTTGACTTCTCAAAGTGTACAGCTGTGTGATTAAGAACTTAGAAGTGTAAAACTAAATATAAAATCTAATAGGAAAAATGCACGTGATGTAATCAAATAAAAATGCAATGTGATGCTTCCCTATATGAACAGTGTTTTAGATGAAGACATCACCAGATGATATTGCTTACCTAATTTTTTCAAGAGCCACTCCCTCCCCCAGAATGGCTATTAAACAATTTATTAATATGATTAATACAGTATTTGCGAGAGGTCGGTGTCTAGACTGGCAAAGTCAAGATAGATGGCAAAGGTGAAAAAAGTCAAATCTGATACCATCTTATTTTTGATGTATGTATTACAAATGTCCAAATAATCATCTCAGCTAGCACTTCTTTGTTTGGTTCACTCTTCAATGCATAGTTTTAGATTGCCTAATTTAAGACCATCTTATAACTGTCTTTATTTTGTACACAGAATTTCCACCAGAAATGCAGTTTCATCATTCTAGGTAATAAGAACAAAAGTATGTACAAGATATTACTATAACTGTCACTGTGTGTTTTCTGTCATGTACATACATGAATGTATTTACAGTATTTTTTTCTTGCAAACTCTGAGGCTGCCTATTTGTCTTTCAGCTTACATTTATTCCAATTAAGTTAGAGACTTTGAGCATTTGATGACAGGGCTTGTGTAGTTCCTTGTTTCATATGATCTTTTCTGCATGGGATGTTATACCCAGTCTATTATATCAATATAACCAGGTCTCATAAACACGTGTGATTGCCTGTCTCTATACTATCATATGTATAAGCAAGCATGCTTATAAATAAGATGTGTTTAGGGTAAAATCATCTTTTGTTGTTTGCCTGGGGTAGACCCAACTAGAATATTTTCAGTATTCCTGTTTCTTTTAAATACTAATAAAAAAAAGGCAAGATGTCATGAGAAACTTACTATATTACCATAATATCTAATAGAACAACCTTACTTGCTTAGATAGGTATAGCACTGGATATAATGATTTCTGATAAGGCAAGTTTTTCAAAAGATCCTATGGATCACAAATACATATTCTGGAAATATGTATCTCTTGCCAGCTAAGCAAGGAGAATTGTTTGAGCAGCACATCAGAAGTTGAGAAGTTCCTTGCAATAGGAAAACCTAGGGCTATAGCCCTGTAAGCACTTTAACAAATATGTAATATTCTTTCTGTATGGGATCTCATTTGTTGGACTACATGCAGGAAGGAAATTACATCTCTGCCTAAATGGAGGCAGTGATGATGCTATATCTTTACTTGTTGTTTTACCTCCTCTTAAGTTTGTCAGTATTAATCAAAAGAAATTGATTTATAAAAGGAAGCAATTGGAAATGGTAAGAATAGAAATTTGTGATGATTATTTTACAAACCATGGTTTCCAGTGATAGCCATTGGAAAGTATTTTGTCATGCTTAAGGTGAGTTTCATTTGCTTCCTTTTGATGAAGTATCCTGTTGTAATAGTTGTTGTAGTAACCAAAAAGTAAATCAGGAGTTTCTACCAGAAAAATACTGTTGGAACAGCTGTATATGTAAAACCTTGTCAGAAATCAAGTGCACGCTTCAGACCTGAACTGTGCCTTTCTTTGTTTAAATTGTGCTTTTTTTATTGTTATATGATATGTTGGTTTATGTAGTTCTAAAGAATATAAAAGTATCTGAATGTTGTCAAAATATATCTAGGAATATGCATGGATGCTACCTGCTAGCAGTATAGAAGAATTAAGATTCGGACTATTTTTATTCAGTTTATCAAGGGGAAGAATGTTTTAGTAATGTGTGCTATTTAAAGAGATCATTCTGCAGTCTCTGAAGGGGAATACTGGAAGCCCAATCAGATGAGAAAGCTAAACACAGACTGGATAGAAGCCATTGGAAAAACATTGTGTTTAAAATCAGCATTATCTGAAAGACAGAGCTAAGGCATTTCTGGGATTTTTACCGTTGGCGGTGTCCTCCATCCCATGGGAAAGCATGTAACTAAAGCTGGAGGTACTGTCCTGAATATTGTAAATTCTGTATCAAACTGATTTCGGTATGCCTTGTATGTATATTATTCCTTTATATTCTAGTAATAGAATCCAGTCAAAACATACCAGCAAATCCAAACTCATATTTGAAACCTTTTCTTGAGCTTTGGAGGCTCTGATTCTGCTCCTGAATCCTCAGGTTTCGGAGTTCTTGGTGCTTTGATTCCTATCCAAGAGATGCCAATTTACTCGAGGAAAACATGTTTCTTTTTCCACTATTAATGAATTTTCAGTTTTTTTACAAGTTATCTGTTAACTATTTCTGTGATGATCTGCTTATGAGCAGTCCTGAATTTACTATCTTTGTGGAAAATACTGCTTTTTGTCACTTAACACTGCAAGTGACGTAAGTCCTATCCCAATTTCTCTAATTCTTTCTTTAAAGTTGAAACATCTATCCCAAAAGAAGAAATACAGTCTGGGTTTTCAGCTGCTAGTTAATGGGAGAAAAGATATACTGGGAGAGAAGAAACAGATGAGGCTTGAAGTATTTC